CATACAACTCCAACTTTGCCAGTGGTTTTTTATCAAAAGTTTTCTTTCTCAATTGCCATTGATAATAATATTAAAGTAGTGGCAAAACTGACGACAACGACAATTAAAACCAATAAAATAGTGATGTGAATGTTCCCTTAACACATCTCCATCATTGTGTAAACCGACTTCCATTTGCCCATTCGAAATATGTATTTAAAAAATGTGGAAAGACATCTAAAGAGGATGAAGGAAGGCGCAAAAGGGACGTTATTAGTGCTTAGTTCTCCAATCTATAAAAGGTTACGGATGTTGTATTGTTGCACCTGTGTGCACTCGTACGTCTATGTTCATAAGTAGAACGACAAATTAGGCCAAACAGCACCTTATGATAACTTTCACTTGGGAACAGCGGCGCAAAGTTTGTTCTCAGCATTTGTCCTCTCTTTCTCATTTCTCGGTAACAGTAATAAAATAACTGATTACAATGAAGACATTATCTTTAAATTAGGAAACAAATTTGTTATTTACATTGCTAGTTCGCAGTTATTTAAAGTTACAATATTTCAAAATCTTATCATTTCATCAAGTCCGACTTCTAATCAAATTCCACTCAATGAATGTTGAAATTTTGTATTTAAATTCATTTCACACCTCTAAGTTTTTCAAATGATTTCTTCTATATTTATCCGTATCTACCATCCTTCCACATTTACTCATCGACAGAAAATAGCACTAATACTTTATTTTTCAGCTATCTGGAATTGAAAAATATTAATTGCAGTTAACTAATATCAGAAGTTGATCGAGCTTTAACGAATGCATATTATAGTCAATTCGATTCATAAGAGGTTTAAAAATTGATGGAATGTTAAATTTAGTAAAAATGCGAAGATAAAATTTACATAAAAATTAATAAGTAATATCCACTACTTAAAGCAATGAAAAATTTAAATCCCACTAAAATAAAAGAAACATTCAACTGAAAGTGATTTAAATTACTCCAAAAAATGAATTCGAGTTCTCTTTGCATCAGTCATTATTTTACTGTACATTTTCGTAAAAAACAGAGCTACTACTGCTATCATTTCCGGGGATTATATCAGAATCTGAACCATTATTACAGTACCACTTTTCCGAGGTAATTTTTATTTCATTTTAAACAGTTCGAACGCAGCAAACAAGAAACATTGCAAAAGACTTTTTTTGAGTTTTCGTGTAATTTCATAGAAGAGACACAAATTTCCGAAGGAAAAGTGAAGAAGAGTTCACTAATCAACAGGAACAAACTTCCAAAGATCTTTCCCAGTAAAATCTTCAAATAAAAGGCAACAATAGCAACAGAAATAATAATTTGAAGAAGAATTATGATAAGATATACGTACGTAAGATGACGTATGATACAGAAAATGCACAAGCTGCAGTCATGAAAAAGAGTTATCATGCTTTCATTATTAAAACATTGCGCACTTTAATTGATTAACTAACCAATAAATAAATATATCATACAAGCATTGACAGATAACACAGTAAATCATTTCATCCGCAAATGCCAGAATTTTACATTTTAGAGTTCAATTCTTAAGTAAAACTCAGGATTGAAAAATCTTCCGTAAGAAGTGCTACAGTATTAGTTTGATTGCAGTAAACTTAAGAAAAAGTTGATATCAATCAAAACTTATGCCTAAGAACATCATTACTACCAGCAATAATTAAACAAAAGCGACAAAGCTTATTTCAGTATACATCATTAGAGTTATTCTTATTAAATAAGTACGAAGGAGGATCATCCAAGGAAATTTTTCCGACCACTTTAAGTGAAATTTTCTTAGCTTCAGCAAATACAGAAAATTTTTTTGTTTAGACAGAAATTTTGAGCCGCAATATGCAAAAAAATGACCAGCAGAAGTAATTCAAAACTTGAAAAGATAGGTGCAGAAAAAAAGAACTGAAAGTTCTGAAGAGGAGCAAATACTAACAACTAATACAGTATGTATTCATCGAAATTTCAGAATTCTTCGGAATATTTCCTATTATTGATGATGAGGTTATACATACTTACAAAAGTGTAAAACAGCAATTGTCACTGCAAAGCATTATTTTAAATCGAAAAATCAGTTTGGTAAATTGTGTAAATTCTATCTTATAAACTATTCTGTTTTAATAGCGGATAGCTTTATTACAAAAATGAATTGATTTTGATCGAAGCTAAACTGCTACGTAAAAAAATAAAATGAGCATCGATACTTTTATCATATTATAAAGAAACACAGATGGATGATTGAATTTAATAATGGAAAGAGTAACGAGGATGATTTAATTCGTTAAATTTAAACAAAAGATTTGGACTCATAATGTTCTTACACAGTGTGCACAAAAGATAATCACTAATTGCGATATCTGTTGGTTTCGAAGAATATGGGAGAAATAATTATGTTTGTGAGATGAATGGAATAGTACTGATGATTAATTCACACAATAAGCAAAACTTCCAGCTAGCCCTCGTCTTCATCAACTCGAAAGATGAACAGATTGTGAGCTGCGTCAAAGAACTTTACGTAAAGCTCGACAGCTTACTGTTAAGCTCTTCTTTCAACAGTTTAGTAGCGTGAAAGGATACAAGTTATACAACTTTGGCAGCAAAAGGGGACCAAAGAGCAGACGACAGAGATGACGATGTATCTATCCTCAGCTTTATGCATAAATAACACGCACGATGGGACAATAAGTGATCGCTGCAATCAGTGCGATCACCACGACGAGTACAAAGCCAACTGTCTCAGCTGCGGGACGCACGAAGACACTGCAAACAACCGCGTACTGCCTCGTGTTGTGTGCGTGTGTGTGTATGTATGCTGAGAAATAGACAGACTAGTGCATAACAGAACGTATCCCACTATTACATAAAGGAAGTAAAGGGATTAAATTTTGTTCGATGGGTGCTGTGCTGCAAAGAATGCAGGAGACTCTTGACGAGTCTCGTTTTGTTACACAGATTGTCTGATTTTATGCTGGGCATTAAGTGATCATCGAGAAATATGACTCACATCTTTGGAATAATCTTTCAGTACAAGCATTCTCATTTTACTCATATAAACTTTCTTGGCTCTAGTCCACTTTGTCTCTGACGTGGAATTTCTAACTACCTTTCTCGAATATTTCATTTGCATAGGGAAGTTGTTCTTATTTTTGATAAAAAAAATCTATTATTTGCAAACCACATATAACAGGTAATGGAAATGGCACTTAGATCGAATTGAAAAAAATATGTTGTCGTATATTGGTCTTCGCGTGAAGACCAATATACTACATATTGTAAGTATTAGTAACTAAAAGACCTACCAAAACCTTATACGAGCCATAAATTTAAAATTTTAATGTACAGTGAAGGTGAAGGATTGGAAATTTTCATCAGAATTTTGCTAAATGATATCTGTAATCCTGGTTAGAAATCTCTCCTTAAAGGTTTCAATTTTCAAGCTCTTGACCACAAACTTTCTTTCTTAGTTTTCTTTTCGTAAGAAATTCACAAAAATAGTTAACAGTTGAACACAATAATCATCACAAATGCAATTACGATTACTTCACAACGGCAGTGACATAATAAGTATACTACGCACGAATGGTCCAATTACAGTTATGTGATGATTACCACCTCTATTAAAAATTCAAACTGATACAAATTAAAGCTTTTGGCTATAACCTCAAAAAAGATGTGATTGGTCGCAATGTCGAAATGATTTTAAATTATTAGTTTCATATTAAACTTATAATCTTAAGAAAAACCGTAAAAGTTTTGCAAGTTAGCAAAAACCAGTGGCAACACTTGGTCTTTGTTATTATATGTTTACAATCATTCTGAAGTTATTATATTATACTGTTTTCTAAAACAGCATAATCAAGAATACTGATATTCGAAAATTTCACATTTATGTTTGCAAGAGAAATGGTTTTACAATTCTTTAAAAACAGTATCCAAGTGCGAAAGCACTTCATTTTTCTCATATTTATAACCTAATGCTTTTAACCGCTCACCGAGCATCACCACACACCTTTCAAACAAATCCGTACTTTCCCGCATACAGTTGTTGTTAATTAATGTACTCGAAATTCTCTTTGTTGAACTTCGAAGAAGCATTAAAAACTGGATCATCGCTCCATAACTGAAAACGGTCCTTAAGAAAACAGAGGTTGTATTTACAAACCGCAATTGCTATACCCATCTTAGTAAAGACTGAATTAAAAAAATTTTTTTTTAAAAAGTCTATTGACTTTCAACCAGTGTAAGAATAAAACGAAAGAAAAAAAAAATACCAGTGGATTTCATCCTCTTTCATGATATTTGCAAATGGGATACGACTTTCAATTTGATTCTTGAGATAAACAAGTATGGAACTGTAAAACACAAATAATGAATGCTCTAGTTGGTTGCCAGCCTATTTTCATATATGGCATTACTTTAAATATGAAAAAAAAATTTATTAAGTGAATAAAATTGGAGGGAGTCCTTCATCCATTTAGATAAGTTGAAGTAAAATTATCACAACTCTACATAATACGATCAGAGAACACTGATCTCACCTAGCCCAACTAAAATTTACTTATTTAAAAGCTTGGGAAATAAAGGCAAACTACATCATTGTAAAAGTAAAGTAAAAAAAATGAATTACCATCGCAATAATCGGTACTTCAGCAATATTTTGTGAACCCAGAAATCAATAACCTCGTTAACTTCCAGGCATGGATCAAATGGGCTTTGAATAATCCCTACCTAAACGTACTATTTTTTAATGCATTTAAAAACGAAACTGCTCTAAAAATCTAGATTTCTTTCGAAAATTTCTAACTTCTTGAAATCAGAAAAGTAAATCTAATGCAACAGATAATTTTCAGTACTTGAAAAATAAAACCTCGAAAATCAACAACATGAAAGAAAGAATAAATCTCAGAAAAAAACTAATCAGGAATACAGGTCTGCATGAAAGAAGGAGTTAAATCATACTATAAAAATTTATTTTCAGTTAAATCAATACATTTTTATTCATCTTCAAAAATTCTTCCAAAACTAAGTCAGCAATAATTTTTGCATGCTCAGTAATTATATTAGATGTCAGTAATCTGCAGCTGCTCAAAGTATTGTAGATAGAAAGCCAAGCTTCTGCCGTCTTCTGTAATAAATACATGTATTAGAACATTATGTTTTCAACAAACAGGTCGAGTACTTTAATGCAACTTTACTTCATTTGAAAACTCGTACAATTTTAGGATGACACCAACTAAAAGTAGAAAAACTGAACAGCAGAAAAAAAAGATTGGAAAACTTTACTTTACGGTTAAAACATCCAGATAAAGACTTTGAACAGGCGACTACATATTTGAAAATGGAAATCGATGTGTCTGTCATTATTAGTTCTGTCAGCTCATTGCTGGTGGCCTGGAAATAAAGTTAATTAAACAACTTCTTTCTCTAGTTTTTGAAATAAAAGCATACAGAAAACAATAATTTTTAGAAAACCAACCGCAGTAATAATTAAATTTCTGAACAATTCTATCACAACTACAAGAAGTTGATCAGCACCATGACTGTTTTTTATATTATCAATCCACTGAACATCACACAGTTCTGCCCTAAACGCAAATGGTGTGTTATACGTCCTAAGCTGCTGTGTCCACAAATAAATGTATGTCTGAAATGGATCAACCATTTGTTACTCGATGAGTTTCATTCCTGTCTTCAGCTGGATTAATCCTTAAATTTTTAATGCTAAAACAAAAAGCTTTTTTTTTTGATGACTGAAACCACCTAATCTACTAAGCAAAATGATCTCAGCAAAAATTTCCCAATCTATGCAAACACTTTTTACCTCGCAAACTTCGATCATCATATCCAACTGTTTATCAGTTAGATCCGTTAAAACTGGTATAATCGATTCTTTTAACCATTTTACATCATCCTGTATATTTTCCAGGAATTCTTCGTCATCCTAAAAATGCAAGAAACCGTTTCAACCATCTACGATCAAAAAACAATTATTGTTCCGGCCATATCCAGTTTTTACTTTTTCTCAAGCATTATTTCAAATTCGTATGATTTTATAAAACGCCCAGCAAGATATTTTTTGTTCTGAAACAAAAAAAAAAAAAAAAAAAGTAAAAACCTTTCTACTGCCAGTGAAAATCATAACAGCTAAAATATACTGTATACGGATACCACGAATTATATTTTCAAAGGTAAAAGTAAAGGTTGAGAAGCGATATCTTTGTTGAAAAATACTTTCCATGATTAACTGACGCAACAAAGTGAGATCCTAAAAATAGCTCTGGTTTGTTTAACTAAAATAAAAAAAAAAACGTTATGATAAAATTACCAACATAGAGACCAATTTTATTCCATACATCATTAGTTATAAGTTTTAACATAAAACAACCTTGCCTTAAAATATTTGGAAACATAAACAGCATAGTTGTGCTCCAACTGATGCCTCATTTCTGGTTGCTTCATAATACGGTCCAAATATAACAACGACTAGAAATTTTACATGCTACAATAGTTAAGTGATGAAATCAGGAATAGCTAATCAATAAACTGTATTTTTTTATAACTAAGAAAAAACAATCCGAAAAGAAAATTAAACCTTACCCGATTAAATGCATCACTCGGAAGTTCCGATTTTTTTCCACGCTTCTTCAGTGGACTATCATTGCACACTTCCTGTTTAACAGTTTCGAATGCTGAAAAAATTTGAAGCAAGACCTGATAACAAGGTTTCAAAAGTATCTAAAGTTCAATGCACATACCATCGCCGATAAATTTCAGGATAGCCAAAAAATTCCAACTAGTGGCTGCTTCCAAATAAATTGCAGCTTTTTCATCGTCTAAACTACAATTTTGCAACATTTCCTGCAATACTAATACTCTTCCTTCCTTCCAATTGTCCAAAGTCTTGCCCAAATGCATCACTGCTTCCAAAATTGACGTATTCTAAAAAGGATTCGTTGCTTATTTCAACATTAAGAGTATAGAGATTTGAAATTTCAATGAAAAAGAAAGTTTTTTCTTTTCAATAAAGAAAACTGAAAGACTGATTTAGAGCTTGAGAACCCCAAGAGGGCCTTCAAGCAATTTGGACTAGTATTGGAACATTTCAATCTTTACTTACTCGATAACGCAAAAATGCAAATTTGAATAATTTAGTGAGAAGTCTCTGCAGGTTTTCATTTTCCTTAACATATTTTTCATCATCTAAAGTAAGGCGTAACGGAAGCCACATTACCACCAAACAGTTCAGCAGCAAATGCGATGAACGCCAAAGCTCGAATTTCTCATTTGTTTCATCTGCAACTAATTAAAACTAATTTCACTATTTACAAACACGATTTTTCTGCACGAACTGAAATCGACTCAGTCATTTGGACTACTGTGCTAGTCTAAACAAAAGTTCGTCGATTAGGAGAACGATTACTGTATTTAGGACATAATTATACACCAATTTACCTCTCATGGGTCATACAGAACCTACCATAAAAATTTTAGTTAAAATCGCTTGTTGGCCCGGTTAAGGCCCAGTTAACGGATAGTAGTACTGACTATATGTGTCGCCGACATCACCGAAACCTTACCGTATTCATATCATGCAAGATATTGAAAAAAGTAAGTTGCAGAATTTTACCTTGAATTGGTTCAATGAATGTTTCACATACAGTTGCCTCCGAGCATATAGACATCGCATCGTCTGTTTCGCAAGCATCGATCCCCTCCAATGAACGCAATGTTTTATATACAGCAAGCACCAAAGATTTTGCATGTTGAACTGATGAAAAAAAAATATGAAAACTTAATTGCGAAGGTGCAGAGGAATATCAAGTGTTATCCGAGCAATCTCTTCTAATAAGTTTCAAATTTATTATTTATTATGTCCGTAAACGGTGTAGAAACTAACCAGCATGTTCGATTGACATTAAATTTTCAGTAATAATTATATGATGAAAAGACAGAGCAGCTATTTCACTTTCTCGACCCATAACAATTATGCGTCGGATCACTTCATCCGGACTCAATCGTGGTTTTATATATGATGGCAACAGCAGTTTCGCAATCTTGCAAGGAAAAAATATTATTAGTGATATTGAAATAAAAGTGCTGCAGTTAACAACAATTTTAAATAATTTCATTTACCTCTTTCCGCACCATGCCAGATTCCTCAAGGGCAAAAACCTTCAAAATACGATCCATCTTCACCACTTCACTAAGCTAAAATATTTGTTATTTACATCATTCATTAAGAGATAGAATTTCTACTGATTGATTTTCTACATCCATTCGTCACATGTTTTACAAGTTTCTAGAAGCCAAATGAAACATGTTTTCCTTCTGATGTACACAAGTTAAGAAAAAACACTAACAAACCTTGATAAAACGATGACCTACTAGCGCATTCAATAACTGAAAAGCAGCTAGTCGAACACTGTCACAACGATCATTGATCCCTCTGTTATCAAATAGACATTTCAGAGCCCGCTCACAAGCATTCAGAGCGCTTCCGCAGCGTAAAAGATCGCGCATGCCTTCGTAAACTGCTATCCTCACACTTACAATGCTATCCACTGATAAAATGTCGATAATCTGAAAAAGATATAGCGTGATAATAGTGCATATAATAATAGACACTTATTGTTTATTGTAAGATCAAAATTAGATCATATGGAAAAGTGATAAAAAATGCAGACTGCAATAGGTCTATTATCTGCATAATTCAAATTAATACGTCAACTATAACTTTCATTGAAAGATGAAATTAAATCTCGCCCTTAGAATCAGTTATACGAAAAAGAGCCTTAAATGCCGAAAGCTACCTGCGTCAAGCACTGCTTGATGAAATCTAAAGAAAATGTATCGAAATACGTGCTCAGTATGAATAATGTACGCCTGCATGCTTCCGATCTAATTCCATAACTATCATCTTTTAGAAGATCGATAATTATTCCTTGCTGCAAACTAACGCTTTCTGCATTTTCCTGAAAAAATTAATTGGAATAATCTTGGAATACAGCTTTTGTTTTCAGTGGATTTGCTTATTTTGACAGTACTGGTACTGTCAAAATAGATTGTATGGTTTTTGAGTACTTTAAAATTCCTATTCATAAAAGTATTTTACAAAAATGCATTGGCAATTTCACGTAATTCTGATTAAAAAAAAAAAAACATTTCAAAATATTAATTGCAAAAGGAATCGATTTATTCCTTTTCCTACTTACATAAAGTAGTGAGGAAGAAACTTAGCATTTCATGGCAATTAAATGATACATTAAATAAAAAAGACATTTTGAAAATTATCTGCGGAAAATGTACCTCCCTTACAATGAAGCTTTGCATTTTTGACTAATGGAAGGTGGATTCTAATTTAAATTTCGGTACGATCTGCAACAGAGGTACAGCGTTTTCCTAGGATAATTTTCTTGAACAATCAATTTTGTTTGCGAATTCCTGTATATATATGAAATGTAAAAATTATCGTCACACTCTGTACCTCATGAGGAAGCTATGCTCAATTTATAACAGTACTGCAGTAAACAAAACTCTTAACCAAACTGGTATGACTCCAATAGACAGTTCTCTTAAATTAAACATACGATATCATCATCCGAGACAAATGGATAGAACGGCAAGAAGAGGCAGCAAGCATTGCATCGTACCGTTTCATTAGCTGCCTTAAATAGTATAAATTAAAAAAAAAAAAAAAACCTACGGTTCAGAATTTCAAACTCTCGGCTAACAGAATACTGATGAAATTAAAAAAAATTCAAGGAAGAATGAAGACCTTCAAAGAACGCCACAAATTCGGCTCGAATGTGCGATATATCATTGCATCAATTTGTTTGCTTCTGGCTTTTCCGAGCGGCTCAAGCATCTGAAGTCTCGGAATTGCGAAGACCACATATTCATATTTATTCCAATACAAGTATCGGAATCAGCGTTTCTTACTATATTGCTACAGCTACATTGTAACATTAGTTTAAATACTTATTAGCAAAGTCCATACTTGATAGCCTTATTTATTTCATATTTGTAAAATTCTCAAGATGCTCAAAATAAAACTACACATATTTTCTGAAAGCAATTGACTGAATTTTAATGAAACACTACAGAAAAATAATACCGCCATAAATTTTTTATTATAACGAAGATGCTGTAAGGAATAATAAACGATGTCCATAAAAATCCTTTCCAACCGATGTTGCAGTCTATGGATACCATCTTTTGCAGCATTCTTCCAGGCCAACAATAAAACCTCACCATAATTGGCACATTGCATCCTCAAGTACAAGCATACAAAAATGGAATATAAATGTCTGACATTTATCAAGAAATCACGATGTGTTAAATTCCAAAATCGATTCAATTTGAGGTTGAAAACTGATAAATCTTTACTAACTTGTTAGTCTTTTCAGACGTGACAACTTTCTTCACTAATATCCAAAATTTGTCAGCACCAATTTTTGAAATGAAATGAGCTGCCAGTTTCTTACCCTGAATGAATAACGAAACGTTAATAATCTTAAATACGAAACTGAAACTCAAACTGAATTACGTAATAACGGACATATAAAACTGAACTGAGAAAAATTTTGTTAACAAAATTAATTATAAACTCTGGAAAATTCAAAAAGCTCCCATATATATGTAATAAGCTGATTGCTTTAGAGAACATTTTTATTGAAATTGTTAGACGGTTGTGCTTACCAAGAATCCAAGAGAAAATCACAAAGAAATTCCTAGTAAGAATCCTACCCATTACTGAAATAGTATTTTAGGTTACAAACCTCCAGTGAGGTAATAAAGGATGGTTCGTAAACAACACGTCTCAACTCATTGATTGTACACTTCTCTAACACTTCATCTACATCCAAATAAAGGCGTTTCAGGAGCTGTTTCTGAAAATTGCAGAATTTTTGTACAGAATCAGGATTCACTTAGTGAAAATATTGTTGCAAAACTGTTTCAGTTAGTCTGAAATCTTAGTCTACCGGTATTTCGGCATACTGCGCAACGAGAAATCTTACAGAATTTTTAAGTCACTGGAATGTCTCATACATGTAATTTCAATTCAGTGCTTTAAACGAAGTGATGTAAATGACGCCATAGAAAATAGAAATGAGTTCCGAGAAATACCTGACCACGAATCGGTTTCACAGCTTTAACCAACAAGTCGCCATAAGAACTTAATTCATAGTCCAATTTCGAAAGGTTTCCTTCATCTTCTTTATTTTCACTTTTCACTTTTATATTTCTTATTTCATGCTCTAACTTCGCATTTCCCAACGCTTTAAATACGAAAGTGTGCTTATCACCTGTATTATACATTTCACTCGTTGCAAAGAATAAGAGATTTGTTTTTATCCATTAAAGGGCAACTAAGCTTCCCGAAACTGATCTAGTATGTCACAGTACATTGGAGTATCCAAGGAATTTGTCAACTAGGACTTCAATAAAAAAACAGGGAAAAATGTTTCCTTCTCCACTGAAACTTACTCTAATAACCTATACACTCTGCTTTATACTTTTTCCCTAACAAAACTCGTTGCACTAAGTGACGAAAGACCTTCAAACGAAGTACAAAAATTAACATAATTCTGGTAGATGTTTTCTGACATATGGCAGTTCCTATATTCCAATATCTTTAAACAAAGCTATGGTTGAGCAATAAACATAAACTGTTAAGCGAACCAGTTGACGTACTTTTTCCCACAGGCCGATCCACTCGCTTCTTCGGCATTTCTGCTCCTAAATGCATATATTATTTTGCATGCAATGCTTCGCATACAACCCGCCCTTCAAATACCCAATGCATGAAGCATACCCGAGACCATTACCCAAGATGCCATACCATGGAGCAGAACTGAAACCAATGGTTATAATCTGTCAGCACTCCCGCCAAATCAACAATTTTGATTAGTATTGTTGCGTCCTATAACGAAAGATGGCTTACGGTGTCACGTTAGAGATAGAAAGAAACATGGATAGAAGAGGATGAGAGGAGAAAAGAGGGTCAGAGATGAGGGGAGGGGTTGATGCATTAATGCGATGTGTTCACGCGGGGTTTAGTGTCTCGGTGGTTGACCTTGAAAGAAACAGGCAGTAAATGTTTGTTTTCTTTGCGTGGATTCATGTGCAAAATGTGGTCTTTGGAAGATTCGTAGGAATGGTGAAAATTAGGTTGAAGTACTGCTGTACTAATCCCATGTTAGAGTTTGCCTGCCGGGTTGGGAATCCCGAAGCTTTATAAGTGTTACTTGGAAACATAAGATGGATAATTTCAGTGGGTTTATCGGACTAGAAGGGAAGAAACAATGCTGTCGTCACTATCAGCTGCAGTGCATATACGTGAAGACGGGCTGGTATTATTTGTTACCATCCTTGCTGGTAGGTTATTTTGTCAGCAAAGTATAAATAGATCTGTTGATAGTGTATCTGCTTGATGTTTAGTATTAAACAATAAATATTATCAGCAGGAAGTAGTAGCATGTTGTCGACCGTCAGTAAGTAACACTGTCCATTCGACTGCTCAGCAATTCTTTTCCTAATTAGATTGACCCTATTATATTTTAATTCTGATAAAAGTGTATCAGTGAATTGAACTGTGAGATTTTCAGGATACCCACTGGCAGCAATTCATCGGTCAATATTTTATAATAAGTCACCTGTTGTACAACATGTTTACTTTGTGGTTGCTGGTGTGTCGCTTTATCTGTTTAACTATGGTACCATTTTTTCATTTTAAAGGGTGATGAGAGTTGGAGGAATGAATTTAATTTCAGTTCGGCTTGTTTACTTCTTTTCTCAGTCACTTTATTTTGAGAACTTTTAAGAGAAACTTTTGGTTGCTTCTTCTTATAAAATTAGTTCTATTTTCCAGGTTTTGCAGTACTTCACAGCATTCTAAGTATATTGTTAGCATACGGGATTGTCACATATTTTCCAGGCCAGAAAGTTTCTATTCTTTTGGCTCATATTGCATTTTTGGTAGCTTTCCATGAAGTTTCAATCCTGAGTTTTTTTTTTCTTTATCTTTTGATTCATATATCACTAATACAAATTTCAGAGTGTTAGAACGATTGTAGTTCAGTCCTTGTAATGACAAAGAACTAGATTATTTTTTGACAAAAGCTTTTCATAAAATTTATTCCAAAAATTTTTTGATCACAGGGACATTTGTTAATTGGCTACAGTTATTCGGAAACAGATAATTATGATATCAACTGGACAACATCGTTTTGTATGATGACTTTACGTTTCATTGGTCTTGTTATGGATGTTTATGATGGGCACAAACCAGCGGTATATTTTTGAAATTTTATAAACTGATGTAATCATTATATGTGTCACGTCACGCTAAAAGTAGTGCAAAAATAAAGATTTTCGTCAATTAAACCTTTTTTATTTTCGGACAATATTTTTTCCGTAAAATTGGTTTCAAAAATTCCGTAATATGAAATACTTCCCCTTTACTATCTCAAATGTAATTGGTCGCTTCATTCTAAAGAATAATTCAAAGGGACTTATTTCATTTGTTCTTTTTTCTGGGTTTAGTATGTGTTGTTTATGGTTATGGTGTTTCTTATTGTCATTTTTGAATTTAATTGCATTAATTAAATGTTTTTTCAGAGTGAATTGGAAACATATCAAAAGCAAACAGCAATAAGAAGACCACCCAATCTTTTAGAAATTGCTGCTTTTGGATATTTTTTCTGCGGTACCTTTACTGGACCATTTTTCTCCCTTTCTCGATTCCGATCATTTGTTGCTGGTGAATTTCTTGACAGCAACAAAGAAGTGCGTGCATCAGGGTTAGTTTTTAATCTTTGAATTTAAATACTCTTGATAGAATCAATGAATCATCTTTTGAATGTGATAACAGTTATTTTAAAATAATACTGTTTAATTTCAGATTTATGCCGAGCTTGGGACGTTTTGTAGCAGCTTGTTTTTACATGATTATACATCATTGGGGAACTTTATGGATACCAAATGAATATTTCAACTCTCCCCAATTCTTTGTTAGTATTTTTACTATTTCTTCCTTAGATTTCTCAAACAACCGAACTTTCTCAATCATTAAAAAAAGAGGAGGATTTTGCAACTATTTACACTCTTTTAATTATTCAATTTAACTGAGGCAATTTGACATAAGATGTTATTTGGAACGATTTTTTTTTAATGTTATCCATGATGTGTTTCAGGCACTTTCATTTCCATGGAAAGTAATTTGGGTTGTATTATGGTTTCGACTTACTATGTGCCGATATGTTTCTGTTTGGCTTTTTACAGTATGTTTTCGGTTATGTGCAATTTATCTGCTATTGACTGCATTCAGGTGTTGTGCAGGTATTGGTGTTAAGATTTCAGTTGTCCTCTATTGATGCATTTAGCCATGGTCCAAAGGCTTGATGCTTCAAAAGTGATTGTGGAAAAGCAGATATTGTGCATTTCATTTATTAAATATAATTTGCATAGGAAGGAGCAGCAATATTGGCAGGTATTGCTTATAATGGAAAAGATTCAAAAGGTAACGATCGTTGGGATGGCGTTCGTGATATCCATATAATAAGATGGGAATTTGGTTTGGATTTTCAGAGTGTTATTGAGAGCTTCAATGTCGGCACAAATACTTTTGCAAAAAAGTGATTTTTGGATTTATTTGTAATCCATAGTAAAGTTTCTGCTTAAATGATTTGTTTAAATTCAGGAACAAGGAAATTTAATCCCATTTTTCTCCTTGTCAGGCGGATTTTGCATCCGGACCAATGGATAATCTCTTACTTGATACTATTTCGTTGAGAATGTACCCAGATTTTGTTTTAGCTATTTATATCGACGACTACAGTGGCTGGGTAGTCAAACCCATAGTCATTTAATAACGCTTATTTACCTCGCGATTTGGCATGGTTATCATCTTGGTTATTTTATCCTTTTTTTCCTGGAATTTGCATGTGTTTTGGCACAAAAGCAAGTAGGTTCCAACATTTCAATGAATTATATATAGTTGTTGATGTGAAAGTAGGAAAGTTCAGATAAAATAAAATTGAAAATTCTGATTCAGTGACTGAAATTTTTCTACTCATTTTTTAATTCTTCTGTGTTATAGTTTTATTTATTGCTGAGTAAATCACCGAAGTTATCACACCACTTAGCACAACCATATATGCTACCACTGAAATTTATTTTTGGTCGTATTGTGATCAATGTTTCGATGGGTGTCGGCTTTCTAACATTTGGTCTTATTAAAACACGATACTGGATAAGGGTTTGTTATGTTTTTCATTCAACTTCGGTTTTTCCGATTTTTTTTAACATGACTAGGCTCATCCGTACTTGTTGAGTCACACCAAATTGTTTTTTGAAATTATCGAAAAGTTCTATAATCTTTGCCGTTTTTTCTCAAAGGCTGCTAAGCTCTTTTTTTTTTCCAAAAAACCATGAAATTTAGAAAGTAAAATATCTTAAACGTTCATTTCAGCCACTTCTTTCTCTATATTGTTTCACGCATATATTTTTCATATTCATATGGCCAGTCTTTTATCGATATTTACTCACAATAAGATAAGAAGCAGTAATGAATGTTTACAGTCAAAATTAGTTGCTCATGTGTTTCATGGTAGTTCATAGCGTTGTTCGTTGCATTTTGTTTGTTTTTGTTTCTTTTTTCCTAGTATTAGTCTTGTTGTAGCTTGTAAAAATTTGCTATGTTTTTGAATTCATCACTTTGCCTTACTTTTCAAAAGCTTAATAATCAAATTCAACTTAGCCGATGTGCTCTCAAAGAAAATTTCAGATGGTAAGTTTATTTTTGTCAAGAACAGGAATCCGTTTTGAATATGAAGCTATTCCCTTTGGAGATGCTTTATTTCATCTTCACGTATTCATAGAAAAATTTGTGGTTATTTCTTTACAGAGATTTCTATTAATCTTAAAATTGTATCCATTTCTTACATTGCTATGCTCATATTCCATCTATTTCTTCAATTCTTCGATTCGAGAAAGAGAGCAGAAAGATGATGACCAATTTTTGAGACTTATCAGTTATAACCAGCTTTATATTGTTATCATTGATACATATGAAATTCTCAATTTGGAAAACAGAGTAAGAGAGGATTGCATAGTTATTAGCAAAGGAAAATTGAATCATTTAATGGGATGTTGGCTTTCATTCAACAATCTACAACTCTGTTGCGGTGCGATTGTCAGATTTATTTTTAAAAAAAAAATGACAATCAACAACTGACAACTGTTACATGCTAGACGCTTACTTAATTGGAAAATAGGAGGATCTCGCGCATTCGGGTTTGGATTTTTCAATTAAAAGT